AATTTACCTTCAAGGAATATCCATATACAATACAAATATTAACTCTATTTTTATAAATAACTATAAATTTCATGGTTTTTTAAAAATTATTTTTGTCAATTGGCCGATCAATTCCACAACCTTACGTATGTGAAACATATAAAATTACATAGTCAGGACTACAAAAGAAACTTAACTAGATTTCCTAAGTTAAAAGACATTATTAAAAGAATGCTACAAAATTTTTTATAAGTTTCTTTTTTTAAACAAATTCAGGCTTCAGTAGAATAAATCGGTATCTTCACTGCTCAGAAAAACACAGTTGTCATAAATAAGCAAATCTAATAAGAGTTAGAGTTTGAGAAGTAATTAGAATCTGAATGTCTATAGAAAAACTAATTAGAACTAGAAGTGCAGGAAGGTGACTCAATAGTATTGTTAGCAATTTTATAAAGAAAAATTACAATTTTTAGCAATTTCTGCGTGTTTCAGGTGACCTCAGTTATAAAACTTATAAAAGTTATAAAAGTTATAAAAATTTTCATATGAATAGTGGTGTCTGTCGTTTCTATTATATCTAAAATTAAGGTTTATTAAAAGCTTTTTTGAATAAATCGGATCCCATTCAGCGGATGAGTGTTCCAAAATTGATCATAATATTAATATATAATTTTATTATTACAAGCATTTCTTTAGAAATCTTTTTTGCGGGTTTTTAAAAGAAGCGGAATAAAATTTGATAAAATTGAAAAGAATAAGCCAGAATCCGTTAAAGAATATTAAGTAGTTGATTCTTGAAAAACGTTAGAAAGAAAACAAAATTAAGATAAAATTGTCAAGGTGTACTACTAGCCTTGAAAATTTTGATACAAGCATTTTAATTTCTTTTTTTATAAGCACCGGTTTAAAAAAGAACGGAATAAAATTTGATATACTTAAAAATAAAAAAATAAAACCTATTTAAGAAATCATGTAAAACAAAATGAAGATACGTTTTTTACTTCTTTTTTTTTGTAAAAGTTAATTAATTGTGTTTAATTTTATTGTGTTTTATAGTTTTAATTCGAATTTTTTATTGTAAAATTTAAACGATATTTTTCGTTTTGTTTAAAACGTTAGCGTGGCAACTGACTAATACGTTTCGAATTTGCCTGTCCATTTTTATTATTTAACAACGCGGAAAGCGCACCGGCGGCGGTCGCGCCCGCCTAATAACAATTTAAATCGACAAAATTATTGACGGCGAAATATCAATCAAAACCGGCAAAAGCGTGTAACGGAATAATTTAATATGTGTCGAAAATTTAAATTAATGTTTTAAAATATATTTAAATAACGCGTACCCCGCGGACGGGGCCGGAGCGATTTATTAATTTATTGTTTATTTAAGGCGAGTGCTTTTAACGATTTATCTCTCATTAATGTCCCCGCCCCCCACGGCCGCATCGGCCCCCTCTGGCTGTGAGTGCAACTGACGTCTGCTAACTAATTTAAATGATTCCTATTTAATTGTTTTTACACAATTATTACGGAAACAAATTTAATTTGTCCTTTAGGTACTTTTTGCTTTTGATTCTTATTTAAAAATCGCACAAAGCCTCAAGATATTAATGATAATACAAAAAAGAGGTAAAAAAACCAACAAAATACAACAAATTGTCGTTTTTCTTTCATTTCTTGCTCTTTACTTTAATTTATACTCTCTTTCTCTTATCTCGTACCCTTGTTCCACCCTTCAATTCCTTCAGTACTTCTATAATTACTTTTTCTTCCTCTCTCTCAACATATGGCTTTCTTTCCTGCATGGTTTATAATTTTTGTTTTTTGTTTCGCAAGAGGACGCCTCACTCTCACAAAAAAACCAAGAGGCCATGCATATTGCATTCAAAAGATCGACATTAATAGTAAGTTTGTCCTATCTTTCAAAAGAATGTCTGTTACAACTAAATAAGTTTTGTTGTATTTTTTGTTAAATGTCTAAACTCTATTTTCTTTTCTTAAAAAGGTGAATATACGAAACTCATTAATGGAATATCAAAGATTTAAAGTGGCCGAGAGACGAAAAGTTTTACTTTAATATATTAAACAAAAACACAAGACCGTTATTATTATTAGAAAATCAGTTTCTACACAAGCTCTTGAGTGTTTAAAGCAAGATTATTCATTTATCGCAAGAGCGTTAATTTATTTCTGTCAAAATTAATGTCTTCGAGCCCCTTGGGTCCTATACTAAAGTGATTATTATGCCTTCAGATCAACTAAACTATATTTTTTGTTATTTAATTAGTATTAGTATATTGTATATATGTGCTGTCGTGTGCGTAAGTAAAATAACATTTATTCAAAAATGAAAACTTTGATCACTTCATTATGAAGCTTCATAAACCTTTCTGCTTGAAATAAAAATTCAGTGTTATAGTGTAATGAAAAAATAGGGGATTGTTAAAATTAAAAACCAACCAAAATATTTATTAAAAAAAAGTATTATAGCGATTTATCCTTTTTTTTAATTTCAAATTTAATATTACAGCTGCTTATTTTTTAATTTGAGGATAACCGTATGGGTTGCGAAAAGTTAAAAGTTCAACAATTTGATATTACTTTGCATTTTTTTAATCGTATTTTTCTGACTGACCAAATTATATTCAACTATTTACTCAACAAATTGGACATTAACATTCATTCATTAATCTTTCCAGAAAAGTAAAAATTAACAAAAAAGATGCATGCTTTAAAATCAAATATACTTATTCCATATATATACAAAGTTGGACCAATTTGCAGAGAGGTTTTGGACCCTTGCAAATAACAAATGAGTATCAGTTAATAACATTTACTATCCCATTTTATTTAATATAAATAATCATAATGGGAATGAACCTTCTTTTTAATAATTTTGGTTAGTGGTTTTCGTTTTCTTCCATGGTGTCTTTAGGCAGTAGTTTCACTCCCTCCTTTCCTCTAATATAATTTCAGTAAAGGAGATAGTTTATCAAGAAAATTCCACATCTTTCCACAAGTATTATAAAAAAGCCTAAATAGTATACTTGCCTACGTTCGCAAAAAAAAAACTGTGGAGATATATCTTTTCCTTTATAAGCCAATCAATCTAAGAGTATAGTAAGTAGTATAGAGATAACATTTAAAAAATAAAATGATTGCAGTTATCTCCGATCTAATCACGTTTTTAACAAATTTTATTCTGTTAGCATACAAGAGCAAAATTGATAAATTTCTAATTTTAATAACTACAACTACCCAAAACCATTATTTCTATGATGGTGATAAAATTAAGAAAATGAACAGTAAATATTACTGATAAATATGCATTTGTTAGTCCGAAACCTCTATGCAAATTGGTCCAACTTGATGGACGATTTGGACTAACACAAATGAGATATTTTTCGTATTCATTTAATGAAAAACATTAAATTGAATTTTGTAGATAACTACACAGGTTTTGCCAAAAGTTTTTTTTAAATCTTTTTTTTTTTGACTAACTATATTTTAATATTAGGCATGGTCGATCATTGAATACTGAATAAATCTTAGAATAAGAACATTTATTCTTATAATTTGAAAGGTATCAGTAACTTTAGGTTAAGATATCCTTTTTAAAGAACTCGGGGATAGTTTCCGTATTTTAACATTGGATTTTTTTTTTGTTTTTAGATTGTTTTTTTGCTTATTCACGTTTCGGCTCTCTTTGACTAGTGTTGACCGGAAAAATTAAATTATATCTCATTTTCCGTTAACGCTAAGTGATTGTAATCGTAAAACAAGGCTGATTTATGGGAGCAAATGCATCGAATATCCAGGATATGTGCACTGAAATATAACCTTCGCTAAATATAATTTTATTTAGCACGCGGTCCCAACACAATCGCGGATTTTTCCGCCATTTTGCTGTCGTGTACGTAAGTAAAATAAAATTCATTCAAAAATGAAAACTTTGATCACTTCGTTATTAAGGTTCGTACCGTTTTAAATTTCAGATCAGATAATTGTAATTTTTAAATATTATCATTTCGTATTATGCAGATGGATGAATTGGCTTGATATGGTTGTCTTTATATTTTTTTCTTTTTGTATGTTAGTAAGTAAAATTATCATGTTAACAAAATATTTCGGCCAATGTGTAAAATTTTTGGAGTGATATTGAATTTTCTAACCACAACTAAGCAGATATATTAAAAAAGGATTATTCATATTGAGTTGATAAAACTAAAAAAAATGTACGGTCAATACAATTGACGAATTCCTTATTTACAAATCCCTCAAACCCTTCCGCAAATTGTTCCAACTTGTCATAAAAATTCAGTGTTATAGAAGGTAGGTGATAGGACTAATACAACGATATTTTTGGTAATAATTTAATGAAAAAGTAGGCGATTGTTAAAATTAAAAATTAACCAAAATATTTATTAAAAAAGAGTATTATAGCGATTTATCCGTTTTTTTATGTTAAATTAAATATTACAGCTATATATTTTTTAATTTCGGGATAACCATATGGGTTGGCAGTTTTGCGAAAAATTAAAAGTTCAACAATTTGAGATTATTTTACATTTTTTTTAATCATTGTTTTCTGACTGACCAAGTTATATTCATGCTACTGTCTTTACTCAACAAATTAGATATTAGCATTCATTAATTAACCTTTCTAAAAGAGTAAAAATTAATAAAAAAGGTGCATTATTGAAAATCAAAAATATTTATTTAATTTTTGTACTTTTCAGAAAAAATAATTTTGATTCAAAAAAAGCAATTAAATTTTACACTTTCTTTGACACAAATAAAATTTTGTTTTATCTTTTCGGTTTTAACAAAGTTAAATAATTCATATTTATGGACTGTAATGTATGGAATCAAAGTTATATCCCTCGTGCGAATTATCCTGAAAACGGGAAACGAGTACTTATATAGAATTACAACAAAATAGTAAAAATGGCGTCACAAAAGTGAAAAAAGAAAAAATTGAAAGCTGTCAAAATCGACCGCGTATTTCGCACTCGGTTTACCTGGTGCTGATAATAATCTGCTACGTGGTTCCCAAGGTGCTGCTGGGCGTCGTGCCCGCTAATTTCATCCCCCAGGTCCTGCACTTCGTGCGCCGCCAGCCCCATGTCTCCCTGCGTCGCGACGGCCCCTTGGTGATGATGCATCTCGATACCGACGCCCATCATCAAGGGAGAAACGTGCTGCTCCCAACTGTCGTCCATCGTTATATACACGCACACGCGTAAAGAAAAAAAACGTTCTCGTTCGAGAAAAAAAAATGGCGCCTGCCTCACCGGAATTTCAAACGCGGCGCCACCACGCTACAGGTGTTTGCCGCGTATCGTCCCGCGGGTCTTTCGCGACGCACTGCTGCTGGCACCACAACCGCGACGACGGCGACGACGCCGGCATTATCGTCGTCGGGCCGCGCGGACTCCCCGGAGGAGACGCGAAATAAAAAAAAACTACGCGAAACCACTCGTCGATCGGTCAGTCTCTCAGGTATTTGGAACAATACGTGGAGGTCGTCTTCGTCGGCGCGTATATATTCGATAATAATATGCGTGCGTCTAGGTACGTGAATGTGTGTGTAATATTATACGAGAACGGACGCGACCAGATCTACGGGAAATTCTATGGTGTTTATACGCGGACCTGCGTGAGGTCGCTCCGACGTATGACGGTGACCGCCCTCCTCGTGCTCGCGCTCGCCACACCGACCGCCCGCCGTCCCCCGCCCGCGACCCCCGGCCGTTCGACCCCCCCCCCCTTCCCGCTGCCTCCACGATCGCGTCTCCCCCTGCGGCCGGATGCAGTCGTACTAACCCCCCCGGCGCTCCGCCCCCCTCCCTCGCCATGAAACACTACCTATTATAATTAGCTCGCGTGTAAGGTGAGTACGAGGTCCGGTCGTTATTTCGGGAGGTCTTAGTGACCTATCGAGTCACGTCGAATAAAAACAACCGCGTATTTAGTGACTCAATAAACTTCGTCTACAAAACGATATTTTTATTGATAAATCTTGAAGTATTTTCCATATTTCCGCTATTTACTTTTCTCATCGGAGATTATTAGAAAGCAGTTTAGATTTTAAGTTTTCTTAAAAAGTATTTATTTATTCATCAAAATTAATGTTGTCCCCTTCAAAGCAATCGCTTGCTTGTGCCAACCTTTTTCCAAACCTCGAAGAACTTTCTAGTATAGCCTTGAGTTCTTCCTCCATCCAATATTTCATCGTTTCATTGGTTTCTTGAGTTTTGGAAACAGGAAAAGTCGCAGGGGGCCATATCCGGTAAATATGGTGGCTTAAGCATGATTGTCGTTTTGTTTTAGGCCAAATAATTAGACACAAGCAACGATGAGCGAGCAGGTGCATTATCGTGATGAAAAAATCCATGAATTGTTTTCTCACAATTTCGGACGTTTTCTTCGTATTGGTTAATACTCTTTATTCACCGTACGATCTTGTGGTGAGAACTCTTGATGTACTACGCTACGATAATGAAAGAAAACAGTGACATTTGATCGAACTTGACGTGGTTTCACCAGTCTTGGAGATTCTGGGTTCTTCCATTGAGACGACTGGGTTAGGTTTCGACGTCATAACGCCCAAAACTCGGAATAAATTGCATGGCACGAGCCAATAGAGATGCCAACATCTTCGGCTACGTCTCTAATATTGATTCGACGATTTTTCGACACCGTTTATTTCACTAATTCAACGCTTTCATCAGTTATTGACCTGCTCGGGCGTCCAGAGAAATGTTCCTCATCAGCGTCTTCTCGGGCATCTTGGAACACTTATTAACATTTTTTTTGGCCGAAGTAGATTTATGATATGCCGTAGTCCACATTTCAAGTGTTTTGCAGCACCGTATTCCATTTTTTACACAAAATTTGATCAATTTTTTTTTGACAGCGGAAAATCGTCGAGCACACATAAAAAGTAAACGTGCAAACTGGCTGAAACTGCGAACATATGTACCAACATAACAAAAAATATCGAAGATGGAATATAGCCCGCCCCATTACAAAAGTCACCTTACTTTTTGAACACACCTGAGTTGAACTTATTAACTTACACTGATTATATTCTGAACTCCTTGGAAAGTAGTTACGAAGTTACTATCTATACAGATTTTAGTGAAGTACCACATGATATTCTTCTTAGTCAACTTGCAACTCTGTAATTGATTGGTCCTATACTTACTTGGTTAGTTAGAGTTACCTTACAGATCGTACGAGTGCATACTTTTTCTTCTCATGGCATGTATGTTCCATCGGGAGGACCTTAGAAGCCCCACATTGGACTACTTCTCTTTAATTTATTTGCGCCTCATTACACTGACCCAAATAAATCGATTTGAGAGAATACAGACAAGGTTTCTCCACTTCATTAATTATAAATAATCTTTTTCTGTTCTTCCGGCTACACATTTCATGTTTCTTGTCGGCGTACCAACTATGAAGCTAGGATTTTTTAATATCACGTAAGTCAGTCCTGGTAATGAGATTAGTAATCTGGGCTTTTTTTGCACCGAAAAAAAGGTCGTGCCACAGCTTAACAAAATTTTGCAACTATGGTTCCTCCGTTTTCATTTCATTTCATTACACCTCATTTAACCTGTCTGCTTATGTTGCCACGTTAGTGTTAGTATTAGTCTAACTTTCCTTTTCCTTAATAAATCAATATTGTGTTGAAACTTGATAATTTTATTCATAAAAACAGCAAACTATCATGCCCCGCGTACGTCGAGAAAATTTCAACACAATATGTGAAAAACTGCATTTTTTAAATTAACATTAAATTTTATGATAAAAATCCCACTCGTTGACAAGTTGATACATCCTTCCGACTCACCCTATAGGAAATAATAATAACACATAAATCGTCAGTTTCAAAAACATTTCACTGTTGTGCAATTTTCTTATAATCAATTATTGATAACAGTTGAACTTTTTTACTTTTCACCTTTTCTGTAACATTAAATGGTTTCTGTTATTGTCCTGCAAGGTAGATCTATAATTTTGTTTTTCGTTAAAAAAGTTTCATACGTCGTACGTCCTAAAAGTCTGAACTTTTTATACACGAGGTGGTAAACTTAAAAAACAGACATTGATATAACTTTTTTTCTTAAAGTCGTACAATGACACATGACAATTTTATAAAATACAAACTTTTATTCATTTTTCGTAAAGAGATAAAGTAATAAATAAATGTTTTTCACTAAGATATCGGAATGAAATTTGTGTAAGTATCTGAAATATTAATAAAAATATATATATTTTGATTTTCAGTCATATAAATTGGAGAAAACTACTTGGCATATTGCGACAGATCATAAAAATTATTGACGGGGCCTCGTATGTCGCGATCGAACGGTGCAGTCCGCATCAAACGGAGGTAGGCGAAGGTGCTAGTTTTCTATAGGCCGCGGGTTTCGTGAAATAGGCAAGAGAATGGCCGGGCATTGGTCACCATTAATTGCTTTTTTCTAGAAAGCACGTTTCAATGAAAACGGACTACGGACAACCGTTTTATACCACGGCCGACAAACGAGTGTAGGAAAAAAAATGCTTTTAAATGGTCTCGGTACTGTGGGAAAATCCCAGCTAAATTCTGTTAATGTACCATTAAAAAAAATTAAACTGTAGTGGGCACTCTACAGTGTAAGTTCGAAAATATCCTGACACTTACTTTCATCGTCATTTTGACAACTTTGGGTTTCCTATAAATTGAAATGTCTATATAGTATAGCATATTTAGACTCGTTCTAAAGAGATAAAGGTCCCTAATAATAGACAGCCTGCCTAAAGCTGATAATATGAAGGATCTATGAAAAAAATGTTCAACAATCTCCATGACCGCTGGCATAGTGCAGATTAGCAATCGTATTATGATTTCTCTAAAAAAATGGTGTATGATAGATATTTCAAATAACGTGGTATTTTATTTTATTTTTATAATGTAGAAAATGGAAAGTATGTGGAACCTTCAGGGCAATAAGAAGAAATTAGTTTCCTATAAAATGTGGAACAAATTTCTAAGATTCAAAAAGACATCTCCAAATATACTTCTTCTGTATCTTCGACAAAGTTACATACAGTATTACTTTCTCTGCAATTTTTTTATGCAATTCTAATGCATCTATTGATATTCATTCTGACGTCGAAAGAACGTCTTAAAATTCTTGACTTAGGACTACGCTTCCAAGACTGTTTCGCGAGAACACGAACAATTTTTGTGTGGTACATTGCTATGATAATTGATGAGGAATTGTATCCATTTTAACGTCTAAAAAACGTTGTAAAAATGTCAAATGAGAATGATTTTTACGTGGGATCTTTATATTATTATATATCTATTTAGAGGTAATGATAATCGTTTGATGGACGATTCATAGGATTCCTCAGGGCTAAAATCCATACACATACCTTCCAAAGCGTCAAGAAAATTTAAAGTACAATTATAATGATATTAACATTTCTAAGTCTTAAGTTTTAGTAGGAAAAGCAATGGGACAATCTGGAAGTAGAAAATATAAGCTTTTGTGTTTAGACGCGCATATGAAATGTAAATTATTTTTTAAAAAGCATCCATCATGTGCGGGTTCATTGTAAAAGGAGGCTTTAAGAATTTAAATTGTATATTAAACAACTACATCTAACATAAGTCAGAAGCATTTTAGAGTATACCAGCGTAATGTGGAGTGCATGTCATAACATAAATAGGGGAAACAGAATAGAATATATTTTTAAGATTTTTGATTATTGTCTTCAAAAAATTAGAAAATAATAGAATTAATGTTCCTCTCTATGTTCCTGTTTAAAGTGGTTATTGTTTCAATAAAAATAACCTTCCAACTAACAATTGTAATTTTTAATTTTAATTAATTTTTTTTACCATTATCGCAATAGAGCAAAATTTTACAAAACACTCGAATTTATTGGTAAGTAACTTACTTTTAGATAAATCAAGCCATTTGGTGATAACGGGAATGATTTGCGTTATTTTCGCAGCTATTTTTATTCAGCTCCAAGGAGGCAATCGACTAATATTAATTTTAACGACTAAAGAAAAAGTCGTAAAGTTGGAAATTTTACAATCGGCCATATAAATAAGGCTCGGGGTCCGTTTTTAACCGACGAAAATTGCCCGCTCTACAAGTGCTTGCTTTATGCCCGGGTCTTTGTATAATTTATGCGTCCTTTATTTTATACCATCATTATCATCATCGAGTCCCATAATAAAAATGCGATGTTATGCTAAAATTCCCGCGTTCTGACTCGATCTCCGGCGCCGATATATACACGGGGTTTAACTCCGGCTTCGGGTTTTTATGTATACATCGCTGATAAAGTTAATAGCGTTGTTTTCTTTTCAACAACAATTAACCGTCTCTTAAATAAGTTATTATAAAAGTTGCGCGGCCTTTTTTAATTGGATTTTCGTTTATATCGACGCGCAATCTTTTGTTGCGGCGGCGCCATTGTTGCGTATACCCGTGATAAACTACCCGTTTAACGTAGATATACTTCGATTCTGTTACGGTTATTCTCGGTAGAGCAAAAATGTAAGGATACGAAAACGACCCTTTTCCTAGAACATAACCTCTATTTTTTTCGTTTTCGACGTATTCATCTTCTTGACTACACGACCAAACCAAAC